TTCCTTCAATATGTCTCCCGCATGCTCCAGAGGTTCTCACTAACCATGTCATTTGCAACAGTTACAGCAATATTTTCATTGGAAAGTTTGACCCTCTTCGAGGGGTTTTCTATTGCATTTGTGAATGGCAGACATGTTTTGATGTCCTCATGAGAGGGAAATGTCGCATCACTTCTTTCTCCTGCATAGAATTAAGTCAAAATCTTTGAAGAATAATGTACAATATAAGAAAACTATATGGAATTAAATACCTCCAAAACAAGTTGAATTTTTTATACTAGTCTTCTTTTATAACACGCGTTTGAAACATCTTAAAAGTTTGAAAAAATCACAAAATTGATCTATCAAAAAATAACGAGTCAAAAAATAATTTAAAAGAGACAAGAAAGAGATCGAATTTGAAAAGAACACATTCAATCAACCTTATTCCTTTTATCCTCTCCTCAGTCCATTTGCTCCCATGCCACTCATTCTTATAGAGAAGTAAGTTTTCATTAGTTTTTCCAAGTCTCTTTCAATCTCAATTCCACTACTTTTCACTTCCCTCCCTATTCTTCTCCACTTCATGCTCCCTCTTAAATGCTAAAAAGCACCTTAGTTTACCCTCGATTTCTAAGTTGATAACCATGATAAAATGAAAAAAAAAACTAATTGTGAAGAATAAATATATTATTAACTTCATGTACTCATAAAAAAGTGGGAGGTACTATTGGACGATGAAACCTATGATGCAAATTAGTAATTTTTTTGCTATAGATTAAGTATTCACCTTTTTCACGTGAACAAAAAAAAATTGACAAACTGCATTATATAAAAGAAAAGAACAATGAATAACACGAATTACCTTTTGAGATCACATGATAGGAATATCTGGCTAGAAAAAGATTTCTTTATATATATTTTTTTAAATAGAAAATTCCAAAGCTTAGCACAAACTACCATAAGAAAAATAAAAAGAATTGGATTGTTGGTTTGCAAACTTGGGTTGGGCTGCGACTATGTCCTTGAAAACTTGAAAATATAAAACATTTACGGAAGGTTTGAATCCCATTAGGCCCAACTAATTTGTTTAGAGATTAGAACTACAAAAGTGCAATCTAATTGGCACGATTTATCACGAACAAATTTTTTTTTACACCAATGCTATTTTTTATATGAAAAGATGAATTTGTTAAATTAAATATTATATTAGAGAGATAGCGTGGAGGGGGATTTAACCTAATATGCATGGATAAATGATCTTAACAATTTAAATTACAAGCCCATTAGTACTTGTAATTCTTACGGCATGTGCCAGATATATTCAATCTTCAAAAACAAATCATTTTGTTTTACAGAAAACTCTACAATTAACATAACGATGGCAAAGTTCGAGTTGATTGAAAAACTGACGATATAGTTCGGCAAACAAAATCATGCTTAAGCTAATTTCACATGATGAGGATACTAATAAAATTTGTGGCAATTGTTAAAAGGAAATTAAACCTGCTTATGGTGCACGTCTCAATAATTTTCAAGACATTTCAATTGATCAATCTTAAAAAGAAAAATAGATCTTTCCAACTAGTTAATTTTTACCTTAACTATATATTGGGGTTGGATTGGATTGGATTTGGTTTGAATCTAGATATAGTTCTTATATCTGAACGAATCTGTAAAATTAAGGAAGGTTTGTATCTTTTCTTATTCAAATGATAGAAATTCATTAAATTCAGCGAAACGTTTACATCAAAGGTCAAAGTATTAACCAACCACTCTGGCTCAAACGGATCCCAGCTATGAAATCCCGTAAAACAAAAGAAGCCACTAAATGTGGTGCCTTATTACAAACGAGGAGCAAAAAGAACTTCTAATGACCTCAAATGCTTTTGTAAAAGGGTGTGCTATCCACACATCCTAAATTACTTCTCACACACCCCTTGTTCATTTCTGTCTGTTGATATTCTTCAATTCATTTGATCTGACGGCCGAAAATTGGAAGCGTGTGTGAAAAGTAACATGGAGTGTGTGGATATCACAACCCTTTGTAAACTCTGTATGTCATATAAGAGACCTTCAAGCATAGCGTCAGGATGCATTGCACCCTTAATTCCAACTGACCTCCAGAAAACCTTTCTCTACGCATGCCAAAATTAAGGAAGGTTTGAATCTATTCAGGAACTCTTTTATGTCGACACCCATTCAAGATATCACTGTGGTTGAATCATACAACTTTTTTGTTGTCCTTTCTTATTTGAGTTATGTGTAGAAAACAAGAACTTCTTCCATTTCGAAAAAAATAACTAAGGTTGGAGTCGACAAGCGTTCAAATGTATATTTCTTTGAAATTCTCTTTTGAAGCTTTTAGCTAAAGTGTATATGCTCTTTTAGATTTCTATAAGATTAAAAACCTCTGCGATATTACCTCAAGTAATTTTTACTTTCAAACTCCCAAGTGGTAAATCACGATCCACAAAGAAGGGTGCGGATCAGTCAACAAGTATTGGAGAATGGAAGATATAGCTGGGCTTCTACGAAGAACTACGAGAAGATTATCAGCCACAGTTCAAGGGAGCAGACATTTTGATGTTTCCAAATTCTGTCATGGTTCATACATCGTTTCTATTTTTACTTATGTGGTAACTTTTTACTCTAGAAATGGTGTAAATTTCTTTACTAACAAGTACATGAGCAATATCCATTGTCGCATTTGTTAGCGTTGCATCCAGATGGGCATGTTGCCATGTACTTGCACTGCCTGTCCCAATAACAGAAGTGGTGAGGGTCATCAGGTCCACGTCCACGTTCAACTCCTGGATAAAAATTAAGAAAAAAGATTAATATCATCAAAAAATTAAGCAGGATAGTATAGCTAAGTCTCTTAATTAGTTACTATTGAGAATTTATAAAAAAATTAATCTTTTACTGTTTCATACCAGTGATTGCTTCTGCAATGGCGTTGTTGTTTGCACAGCCACAAACACATCGACCAGTTCTGCACATGTTGGCTAGGCACCCATAACACAAGCTTATTCAATCAACAGGGCGTTCACATTGCATTGCTGTGTCCTCCTTTATTGTGTCTCTTGCTTCAATTTCTTTTGAAAAACCTGCATTCGATTAACATTTTTCATCGATCTTTCGATTTTTCATTCAGTTTCTAAGCGTTATGATTTCAAACTTTGTGTGCATGTATAATGGTAAGGGCAGGGGTCATGGACTCATGGGCTAAAGATAAAATCTCGCCCCTCAAACTAACATCATTCATGAAATTTAGCCTTTCAAATTTTGTGTTGTTTTAATGACCATTAAGGCTAGAAGATAAAAAGTGTTAGGTGACTCGTTTTCATTGGCTACATGTATTGTCCAAAACATGAAGTCTTGGACATAACCTGAAGGAGCCTTAATTGGGCTCCAACTAGCCTAGGCTGATTAGGTGCGTTAGAAAGCTTTCTTTGCAACTTGGGACTAGATCTTCTTGTCTGGGCTAAAAGCCATGTGTTATATATGCTCTTATTGTTTAAAAATACTATTCAAACTAAACTATAGAAAGGAAAAAAGAAGGCAGGTAGTGGTTTGCGGTAGTGGTTTGCCGTAGTGGATAGGGCCTTTCTCCTCAATTTCCTTGTAGCGGTAACTGTACATTTTTTACAATGTTCATTTACTGATCGCACTCGATCCCAAATGATCAAATGTTTCAAGTACCAATGCCATTTACTTTCTAAGAAGGTTGGTGAATATTAGGAGCCTAAGGGGCTTTCCATTTCAATGAATGTTCTTTTTCTTGGTTGTTTATTTTCTTTTCCATTTCTCTTTCATGTTCGTGGCTGTGTTCTTGGGTTTATTGGAAAGTGGAAGCGCTCTGTTCTATAAGATAAAAAATGTCACACGAGTTAAGATTTATGATCCATATAATTCTCTTAATAGTTTATACAGTTCTCATTTCTTATTTACAATCGAGCACTTGGCATGCATGATTTGATGTCAATTTGCCGAACACATGTGGAGACACGCTCATCGTGTCTAGATGAATGCTGCATGTGTTTTTGAGGGGAAAAATTTGAGTCTGTCAGCATAATCAATTGTATGGTTAAATATTTTTATAAGACAATAATTTATATTGTATTGGGTATTATCAGTCTTATGTAGGAGAGATTCTTTATCGTAACTAGAACATAGTTTTAGTGGCACCACCTGCCACATAAATGTTTGACATGTGTTTAAAAAAATAAATCATTTGTCTAATGACCATTTGCCACTTGATGAGAAGAGAGTATCGGTCCTTATATAAGTACAACCTCCAGTACTCACAGTCCTACACGTTTGTGAGAGTGGCTAGTCAAGCTACTATATGGATATTTTTCTTGTTATTAGAATTACCAAAGTGCTAAGGTGGCTTACGGGTAGGGCTTCAGCTTCCGGTAATCCTTTCACGTCATGTCAGAAATAGAGAGAATTACCACATATCTTTAGTAAATAACTGCTACCATTGGTCGTTTACAGTTATAATTCACAATCTCACAAACCGTAAAACCGATGCTATCATAATTCGATTCTCACTATAATTATGAGTGACGACTTATATCGATCGGACGTTAGCTTTCATAATCTCATGATGGAATTTGCAATAAGTGTACAGATTAATCACATGCAAGATGGCCAAGGTTTCTCTAGGATTGTTGACTTCTTGGACCTATGAAATACGACTACAAAAGTCATCAAAATTTTCACAAAAAATAATGAATATTTCTTCTTTCCACCAGTGGATTCTTATACACAAAGCTTTGTTTTTTTTGGGTGATTATAATAGTTTGCTGTGATTTACTAGTGTAGACGTGACATAATATTGTAGCATTAACACTCTTTATCTTCAACATTATTTTTTAGGACCGGTTAGAAATTTCGTCACGACAGTCTATTCTTTCAAAGTTTATCTACAATCTTATTACAGTGTGTTCATAGGTATATTTTAATTGACTTCGACTAAATTGGATGATCAACATTTTCACAAGACAAGCATATAAAATTATTGAAATTAAATTAAATTTTCGTTGCTGATATACTTGCAGGCAATGCCTCAGTTGTCGCTAAAAGTCTCAAACTCTTTTCACACCAAAATAGAAGGGTTGAAGCTTCAACCAAAAGTCTAGGGTTTCAAAGTTCTGGACGGAGAAACTTGAATATTTACAACATTTCAGAAGTTTCTTAGTTCTTCAACTAGCAGCATTGCAAGTCCACAGATTTCCCCACATATTTTCATAAGAAATCTCAATAAATTCATCAATGGCCTGGTGCAATAGCGTGTCAAGGATCCGCCCTTCAAATTCCTCGCAGATTTCATCGAAACCTTCGAACCCGACCACATTCTTGGCCACCCAGTTTGATTCTTTCAAATCCTCCTCCGTCCAATTTTGGATTTTGGAAGCCAGCAGCTTTGCGTAGTCTCTGGTTTCCTCTTCGTTAATCGGCTCAAAATCTTTCCTTTTTGCTGCCTTCACTTCTGAGCTGTCACTAAAAGGAGCTTTTGGTGACGGTTTCACAGTGGAGTTCAAATCCATGGGAATTGAATATCCTATAAGAAAAATTAACACACAAAAATGAATTTAGAATGAATTGGTTAGACAATGTGCTAAATGAAATTACTTAGCATTTTGCAATGAAAACTGAGGAAACAAAAGTAGACATGCGCTTACTCAAGTTGATTAGCAACCAGTATCGAATCCATTTTTCGCAATTTCGATTAGAGTGATTAGAATATTTGTAATCAGAAATAAAAATTTGTTGGAAACAGAACAAACCTGATAACCAAGCTTCATGCTCGATCAACATGTCATCAATGTCAAGAACTGAAACAGGGCTTGCATCGTTCTCTGAGGAGCCATGAAATTCAGCAGCCTCTTTTCCCTTCTCAGCTTCATTTTTATGGTTTCTCTTCTTGATTTTTGGTTCCACCACAACTTTCTTCTTCTCGGTTGCTTTCTTCAATGCAAGATTTCCGCTCTCCCCCTTCAAATTCGCACCAACATTTTTGTAACCCTTCGAAGATTTTGCACCAATTTCCCTTCTGGGCTCATCTTTTAACCTAGAAATCTTCTTGTTTTGCTTTATCATTACAGTTTTTTCCTTCTTCTTCTCCTTCATAATCTCATCATTCTTCACCTTGTTCTTCTTACTACTCTGTTCCTTCTTCCCCTGCCCCAGTTCCCCAAACCCCACCTCAGATTTCTTCACCATCGACCCAACTCCCTTCGATTTCTCACCCACATTGTCCAAACACACAACCAGAAAATCATGGCTGTTCTTCTGACGATGCATAACCTCCGGAACTTCACGAAAAGAAACCGAGGTTCGAACCCTACGATGCGGATGATCCTGCTGATCATTCGAGTCAAAACCCATCAAGTAATCTGCAAAACTCAACGACCTACTTCGACTGACCAACTCCGGGGCTCTTGAAACCCAATTTGTTTCCGGCAACGAGTCCAAACCCATCAGCCTTGCCACGATTCCAGGCGTGACAGAAGCTGAAGATTGAATTTTGGGATCAGGGTTTTGTTTTCTGGAGGATTTTGCGAGTTGGGTAGTGTTAGATTCTGGAATTTGATCTGATGGGTGTGTTGGAACGCTTCCATTGCACAAAAGCCGGCGCAGGATGCCATTGAAACAGCCAGAGGTCTGATGAGCTGAGTTACCACTCATGACTGTAACTTTTTAGAGAGAGAGAGAGAGAGAGAGACTGAGAGAGACTTGAAGTCGTGTTTCTGGAGTGAGAGGGGTTTTTTTTGGGTGATTCGAATATGGTGGTGGTGTTAGTGGTTTATCAAGGAAGGATTGAAGACTTTGGTCGTTGAGTTCACATTAGGGAAGTAGAAATTTATAAAAATATGGGAAAATTGGTGGTCAGACGCGCACTTTGGTCGCGTAAAGAATGTATAGTTAAACACAAAATGGTCTGTCACCGTGTTGTTGTTGTCAGTCATGTTAAATAATATTTATAATTCATAATTTTTTAGTCACTGTACCTAATCATTGTATGTATTCTTCTGTAATTTTCAAGTCTCGCTAATTTGGTGTCGATGTGCTTTTAATAAAAACTGTTTTTGTTGCGCTTTTTATAAAAACTGTTTTTGTTGTACTGCAGAAATAAACAATTGTAAAATAAATTTGTTAAGTATTTGGTAAACTATTTTTTTTAAAGTGTTTTTAATAAAATAAAAAAAAAATGTGTCCGAGTGTTTGATAAATTTTTATATAAATTGTTTTGAATATGTTAAATGACTAAAAATGATATAGTATTTAATGTGATATAATAATTGTCAAAAACAATAATGCAAGGGAAAAAATTATAATTTTGTAAAACATGTGGGGATATATTTGTTATTTGAAAAATTCATTAAATGAGCTTTGATTACTATGCTTTGAAAAAAACATGGTAGACCATGCTTCTGCCTTTCTATACTTTTCCAGTTTTTTTTTTAAAAAACATTTTTTTTTGCTTTACCAAACAAATTTAGGACTGATTTGGTATTATTGTGTTTTGAAAAAAAAAAGTGTTTTTACTGTGCTATGAGAATAAGCAACTGTAAAATAAAGCAGCAGAGTGGTTGGTAAACATTTTTGTAAAAGTGCTTTTGGAAAAAAAGCAGTATTATAGTGTTTGGCAAACTTTTATGTAAAACAGTTGTGCTTGTGTGAAATGACCAAAAAATGTGCAATACCTGATGTGCCATTAATTTAATTTTCTTAACAAATAGAGATGAATTACTAAATATACTTTATTTTTAAAAGAAAAATATTTATAAACTTTATCTTAAACGTATAATCCAATGTTTAACAAGAAATCATAATCCAACGTTTAACAAGAAATCATAATCCAACGTTCAACATATAATCCAAAATTTATGCTACGTCACATTTTTAGTTTTTTTTTTTTACCAAAAATTGTGAAAATAAGCTGTTTTTAAGTGTTTATCAAACACTTTTTTGAGCTCAACTTTTTTTTTATACCCATTTTTTATAAAAGCACATCAGTACCAAACTAGTACTTAATGTTCTAGATTTTTTAATAAGCAGTTTTTTTTTTAAAGCACCACAATTCCAAACCAACCCAAAAAGACATCGTGCGCCTTTACATTGTAGTAAAAAGATTGTACTCTTTACACACAAATTAAATCTTGGAAAGCCAATTCTACAGGGTACCAGCCTTCTTAAATCCTTGGGTTTCAATTTTCTTACCTGTGGTCGTGTTCTTCTTCTTGTTCTTTGTCCTCCTTCTTCTGTTCATCATGGCCTCTTTCTCTTAGTCCTCTAGTCTAAATCCCAACTTCACAAACTTCGTCAAACTATTTGATTCAAACTATCTCATATGGCCTTGTCAAATTACCTTTTTTCTTCATGAACATGAATTTTGGTCTCATATTGATGGCTCGTCTCCCCCACCATCCACAATCATAACCGATCCCAACCCCACGGACACCAACACAACTTCTATTCAAATTGACAACCCATAATACGCCACTTAGGAAGATCAACTTTCATCTCCTACCTCACACAAGCACCATCTCCGGAGCCATTCTCCCTGTCACCATTGGCTGTCCCATCGCATTTGAAATTTGGACCGCTCTGCCACACTGCATTTTCTTATTTATGAATATGTGTCACACTATAATTTACCTCTTAAATATTATAACCTATTTGATTGGTTTTTTTATTTTTTTTAAACAAACGATAGTATCTACATTAAGGGAGTGGAGAAGTGGGCTAAGTCTTACAATGAGCTTGCCATAATAGTGTGGTTCAAGTTTGCTTTTGGCAAAAATCGAACCTAAGACCTCTCACTTACAAATGAAGAGGAAGATTACTAGATCGTAATATTAAGTAACATTTGATTAGTTTATTATGTGCCTTATAACAGGAGAAATTTATAGGCAATCATGATGCTAAGGCATCTCAAGCGTATCACGCAATGGCATATTTTTTCACATAGCATCACAAAATTGATTTGAAGTATTGTTATCCTTTTTCTTCTCTTTTCTTTTTTTAATAAATGTTAGACAATATTTACACCATTTCATCTAAATTAAGAAGAAATGTGAATGTTACAAAATGAGTTAAAAAAAGAAAAAAAATGGACGATACCTATCAAAACAAATTACGAAATTATGCTATCTTGAAGTCCAATTGCATGTAGGAGATTGCCTTTAGTATCAACTAGCCAGCAAGCATGAAGAATAATTAAAACATGGAGTTGAAAAATGGAAGAAACGCGTGGGTGGCATTTGGGTCCTTCACCTCAGTTTGTTTTGCCATTTCGGGGATATTCTTTTCTTTTTTCCACGAGGAGAGAAGGAGAAAAGATGCCGAAGTTGTTGACCATTTTTCCCTCTGAAATTTGAGACACCGTGGTACGAATTTCCACTCACCGACTTTGCAGACTCTTTAGACCATCTATGAGGGTCAGATAGATCGTTTTAACCCTCTAGTCTTTCAAAATATTAATATTTTAATAAATAATACAGAGTCTTATTTGCTTTCATCTCCAATCGAGGGTCAAAGGGTCAAAGGGCTCGTTTTAACCCTGTCACAAAAGAATATCTCCAACCGAGGGCGAAAAGGCTATAGTATGAAATATGAAGAATTGAAATAAAATAAGGTAAGACAATATAGCCCGCCGGTTGGCCCTTTGGCTCGTTTTTGTCCCGTGAGGCCCACGAGCCAGTTGGCTTAGTCCTCGGTTTGAGACGGTTTTCGAACTATTTTCGACTCTCTGACCCTCTTGACCCTTCGGTTAGAGATGCTCTTATGTAGGAGCTTATCGGGGTCAATCGGTTCGAAGCTCTGATGGGTTTATAGAATGAGTCTTAAGAAAACAATTATTTTTTATTTTCAATATTTTCCTTCGTCTTGGGGCAACCAAGCCATCTCCAACAGCTGAACTCTACCTAGTCAACAACAACAACTAAGCAACGTAACCATTAGCCGCCACCACCACCCTCCGGCATAGAAAACTCCATCACCGCCTCCATTATGAACCCCACCGCCAAAACCAATTGCCTATTCATCCTCTAGATCTTCATCAATGTCCCACTTTTTGTTTTTTTTTTTTTTTTTTTTTTTTTGTCAAACGATAGATTTTGTTAGATTAGATGTTAGGTTAGCACTAATGGAGTTTAGTCACCAACGAATTTTGACCCATGCCTTCATGTAAGGATTCAACACATTTCCACCATTATGGTAAATGACCACTTTACCCTTTTTCTTCCTCATTTAATTGATTGGTTTTCATATATTAGATAATTAAGAGACGGAGTGAAATCTAAATGCTAAGCGCAGTTGTAAAATTTCAATTTGACATAACATAACCTTGTCTGCAACTAATCCATAACCAGCGCTTTATATTAATACAAGAAAACTAGGTGTTCAGAGAAAAATAAATTCACGAAAAGTAAAGGATATTTTTGGAAGTTTAGTAAATTATTTTGGGTGTCCAAAGAGATGTGTGAAAGTAAATCAGGTGTCCACAAAAACAAGGATGTAGAACTAAAAATAATCACAAAGCGACATGTGGATTTTTGGTGAAAAGGACAAAGTCACCCTTGAGAGATGCCGGTTGTCCTATGCACGAGTAGTGGACAATTAGCCAAGAGTGTCCAAAATAGGTAACAAATTCCAAATTATCTCATCCATCCTCATCTTAGGTAATTACTTCATAACCTACAAAGTATTCCATACAGATGGAGATTAATTGGCTAATTAATGGATTAATTCCTAATTAATCCATTAATCACCAATTAAATCATCCATTTTCACACAAAAAACATCTAAAGGCCGGCCACCTCCATTCCCTATATATATGACCCTATTTTCTCTAAAAAGCTAGTTCCACACTCTTGCAAAACTTCCAAAAACTCTTAAACATTTTTCTCTCTAAATTCTAACTTTGGCATCAGAGGTTCTTCGGCCAAAGCCACCCCCCATTAATCGTGGGCGTGTGAGGATTTTGGCCTTGACCTAAGTGTTATTTGTTTTGTAGGTGCAATTTTGTCCAAGAGCAAGGAGAAAGAAATTTACATCCACAAATGATGTTTTTATATGAAACTTGGGTGCCAACATGGTTCTAATTATATATTTTGCACACATGCGGATTATGGCATGTAGCAATTTGATCCTTATTATTTTCATAACATTGAAAAATATAATCATTGAAAGCTATTGTTACAATAATAGAGAATAACTTATATGAAACTATCTCACCAGTACATGATATTTTAATCTAATAATACAATATCATGTGTTGAAAAACTTACACATACCATTATTTTATTAGAATAGGAACTTACAATGCATCGTAAACCCATTTTATATAAGTTCCTTCTTACATAATGGGTCATGCGGCAGTTAAGTTGACAAAAAAATTGTTAATTTGATCTGAGTTGGTCCTTCTATTTCTTACATGAATGGTAGATCAGTCACAGAGAGATTAACAGGTGCCCCATAAACGAAACGTAATAATTTTTTAAAATGAAAATTCTTTTTAATCTTCTTGATACAAACATATGAAAAATAACATGTGTAGCTGCATCCATGTAAGAAAAGAATAGGTCATTTAAATTAGAGTAGAAAATCAATTAAATTATAGGCTCTAGAGTCGAGATTAGAGAGGTGTGAGATGTCACAATTTGGTCGAGGAAAGGTGTAGATATCGACAAAAGCGACAAAGACTTAGATGCGCATTAAGACTCCGACGTTGTTTAAGACAATGACCGGGGCATTTGCCTACAGTTAGGTTTTTGATTTGTCTCCTGCCTCCTAGTCCGCAATTTTT